TTTTGGTTAAAGAATAAGATTCTTAAAACGGTTCAAGCTAGACGAGCGGAAATTGAAGCAACACCTGAAGATCAACAACTTACTCCTGATATATTAACCATGTTCTTAACGGTTAACACTCCACGTGATATTACAGAAAGAATTGCTAATGATCAAAATGATAAACCGATGACCGATGAAGAAGTTGTCGGGAATTATTTTGAAGTTCTGTCAGGCGGAATTGATACTGGATCGAACTCTATCTGTTTTTTGGTTTATTACCTATCGCATTATCCAAATGCTAAAAAAAAGTTACTGAAAGAATTTGAAACGGTCGTCGGAAGAAATCTCAACACTAAGATTACCCTCGATATTCTTAACAAGCTTGAGTATACCGAAGCTTTTATTAAAGAAGGTACATTTTTTTTTCTTACAATAATTAATATTTACTTTCAGATTACTTATTATTTATCTACAGTTAGCAGATTTACCCCTGTTGTCACCCTTATTAAAAAACAAAATAGAGAACCCGTTGAAATTGGTGGCATCAAGTTCCCGGCTAAAACAATATTTTATTCAAGCAACATCCTTCTTCACAAGCATAAATCCCAATGGTCTAATCCAGAAGAATTTAATCCAGATCGATTTTTAAAGCCAAGTCCAGAGAGTAAAAATCCTTTCTACATGTTCGGTTCAGGAGAAAGAAAATGTATGTATATATTACACCTTAATTCGGAAGGTTTTCATTCTCTTCTAATTATATCATAACTTCACTCAGGCCCCGGAAGAAATCTAGCAATGATAGAACTCAAGATTACATTACTCTTGCTGTATACAAAATATGACGTAGAGCTCGTGGATATGAATGCACCGGTAAAGTATCACGACACTGTTGTGAGGACTTGTACTGAGTTAAAAGTAAGAATTAAAAAGCGACGAGATTTAGACTAAGTTGAGAGTTTGAGTTTTACAGCAAGTAATATACATAGGAGAATAAAGCAACAAATTATAGGAAATGTCAGTTATTAAGTAAGTATCACGCCGTGTGTAAAATAATCAATTACTTGAGATACAATATACCGAGAGGAGAAATATATTTCAACGTTTTTTTTTTGAGCATAGTATTAAGGTTGAAAGAAGCCGAGTTTAAGTCGCTATTTTAGATCGCAGGGAAAATATTCCCCTTGTATCACTCGTGCAGTACTCACATTGAAAATGTTAGTAACATTATAAAATCTATGGTGTATTCCGAAATTTCGATATAAACTTGCCTGCGACCATAAGGATGCCGCACGAGTGATGCACGTAACATTACTCCTGTAGCCTAAAATAGCAACCTAATCTCTGCTGCAAAAAGGGCAACGATATTTCATAATTTTAATTTTATCTATTATAAATAATATTACTATTTTAATTAACCTCCTTTTCCTGATATTCCTTTAAACCTTGTATTTTAATATTAATAAATTTTCAAGACTTCTTTATTTACGTAGTACCTTTCTTGTTATCTTATTTTTAGAAAATTTTTATTTAGAAAATTAATGGTAAAAAAGTTTTTTTTAAAAAAAAATATTTTTATTTATTTTTATTTTTTTAATCCACAATTATGCCATCAGGGACATGCCTTTATTGAGATATTAAAAGAAAACATCTACAACATACATGAACTTTCACTTGATGACTAACTCATCTTTACACATTATTAGTTAAAGAACTATAGTACTTAAAAAATATAAGAAGTCCACTATGATAGTTTAAACTAAACAAAACAAAGTCTAAACTCAGTACTCTAAGTCAGATTTCGAGAACAATATTATACTCCCCTAATAGATTGGTTATATCTTCTATCTATCAGGATTATTGCCTACAATTTGTTACTATATATTATTCTGAAAAACAATGAATTGTTGAATTACAAATTAGGAAAGGAAAAAAAAAAAAGAAAACAAGTCATAGCCTTCCAAAAGGTTCTTATTTAAGTAAATAACCTCTTCTCAAAAGGAATCCGCCTGACTGGACTATTTTTTGACTTTAGATCATCTGAGGAACTTAGTTATTCTTAGATATTGAGACTTCAAGAAGAATATTTGAGGAACTTATCTTTCTACTAATGTATGGATTCACCTATCACAAGATTAGTTCCAGTATCATATTACAGTAGAGTTAGCCTAACCAGGATAAAAAACCCTTTGCAAAAACTTTGCTTGAATAGAATAGAAGCTTGAAAACTTCAACTTTCTTTCTGAAAAAGTAGGACTTTATTAAGAGATATAGATATCATATTTCATACTCTTTATTTGCTTTTGATCTTATAACTATCTTTCTTGAGAACTTGCTTAGTTGAAAAATATCTTTTTCATTGACTTTTCTTTCTAATCACTAATGATATTATTAAAATATATGATTGTGACCAATAAAAACTTATTTATATTTCCAAAACTAATATGTTTCATATTAGTCAATCACCTTTGATAAGAATTTATACTACCTAAAATTCAGGATCAAATTAAAATAGACAAAATTTCTTAGAAAATTATAAAAATAAAAGCTCCAAGAGGCATAGACAGTAAAAAAAGGAGAAAATAAATTTTTTTACTGCAAAAAATCTCTATAAATCTCTTATTTTAAAGATTAAAAAAACTTTCAAATATTTTACAATCAGTTCTTCTTCCTTTAGAAACTTTCTTACTATTGGTATTAAAGATATTACTTGACTTTTCTTGGTTATTAGAAGTCAAGTTTTTGAATAAAAAGGTTTATAAACAAGAGTGAAAATGTGAAAGTAACTTTTAGAGTCATACTCCAAGTTGTTTTAATGAAAGTATTAAAATATTATCAACAAAAAAATATAAAAATTTCTTGTGAATATCTTTTTTATATATGATTAGATTATTAGTAAAAAAAGTTTTACCATGCCAATTATTATCAAAAAAATATTTTTATTTTATTATATTTTACTATATTGATATAAAAACCAAGTATCTTTAATAAAAAAACTTTTTTCTCACTTCCCTCTACTTTGTGAAAATTTCCTTTTTAGGAGGTTTTTTTTTTCTTTCTCCCTTCTTTACTCCATGTGAGGTTAACAACTATGTAGTAGACAAAGTCTGAAATGTGCTAATACTATATGAGGCTCTGTTATCTGACTTGTTGATATATGGAAGGTATTATATCTAGAGAAGTATAAGTGGACCTATACACTGTACATAGCAAACGTTTGAGACAAAGGAAACTGTCTTTTGGGAAGGAAACACTTCTAAAGCAAGGTTTTGTGTATACCTAAGTCATCATAGACAATAATACCTTCATTCCTCTTAGTTTTCTCTAACACCTTAAACTTTCCCTACCTCTTCTTTCTTTCCCATTTATTCTTACCCCCTCATTTTTATTCTTCCTGCCAACAGACAACTTTTTTCTTTCTCAAGGTTTTCTTCCTAGGTCTCTCACTCCTTTCTCTATCAAACTATTTCATCAACTCTATAGTATATCAAACCTTTGCTCTGGTCAAGTTAGTGGACTTAACTCATGAAAAAGATCAAAACAAAATCTCTTACAATTGAGAGGTGAATTTGTGATAAGGGTGATTACACATTCAAAAGTTCTAGGCACACCTCTCTATAATCACTAGCTATTTATAAAGCTGTTTAAATAAAGAAGAGGTGCAATAGCAAGAATATCAGTTGGCAGCATCAAAAATAGGGTTCTATTTGCTAAGGGTCTAAACTGTCATTTAATATTGGTCAGAGAGTAAATGACTAGTTAAGAGCTCTTATTCTGAATACTTGATAACACCATCATTATATGACTCAAGAGGAATGACAATAGAATCTTCTTTTGTTTTAACCGTCTCCCAAAACTCCATCAAAAACCATAGTCAGCTTACCACATTCAAAGAATTGGTGCAGGTTGATCATGCCTTATTAGGTTCAAGACCCTTAGTAAGAAAAGATCCATGACCTATACCCTGACTTAAACTAATTTCCAGGTCAGTACAACAAAAACCCAAATTCTTTAATTATACCACTATACATATTACCATTTATCCCAGTGAACACTCTTACTGGTCAACAGTAAACTAGTAGTTAGATACTATCTATCATTTTTTTCTTTCTCCATATGAGTTTTTAGAGTTTGTAAGGGACCACCAATGCAATAAGCATTAGTTAATTTATTTGATAAAAAACTTCTTATAAATATCTTTTTTATATATAGTCAAAAAATTAGTAAAAAAAGTTTTTTAAATTAAATATAATTTATAAATATATGTTAAAATTTTTTTATTTATTCTTTAATAACATATAAAAAAATATTTATATAAAAGATTTTTAACTTTTTAATTAATAAAAATCTTATTACTATTTTAAACCAAATTGAAAAAAATATTTCTAGGAATTATTATTATATTTATTTTTTATTCACAATTTTATTTAATTAAAAAAATAATTTTTAATTATTAATAAATATTAAATAATATCTTTATTAATAATAATAATAAAGCTTCTAAAAAATTTAATTATAAAGTATATAAAAATCTTTTATTTTTAAGATAAGTTATAATAAAAATTTTTTGTAATAAAAATATTTACTTTTTTTTTTATTAGATATATTAACTTTTTTTAAAGTTTATTTTTGTAATTATCTAAAAAATTTTGTTTATTTAAATTTAATTTTGAATTTTTAGATAGTATAATTTTATTAAAAATAATTAATTAACATATATTATATTAATTTTTTAAATATAGTTAAGAAACACCTTTTCTATTAATAGCAAGAAAGTTCTGAAAGGAAGAAGAACTAATATATTATCATCTCATATTGTAGAGAAATATCACAGATGTGTGTTCTTGATGAGAGACAATTTCTCCATTCTCTTGTCATTTGTTACCTTCTCATAGTACTCGTTCTTAGTTTTTTCTAAAGAATTTTATCTATTTTAGTTTGATCCTGAATTTGGAGTAGCACAAAGTTTTTTACACAGTGATTGAACAGATAGTGCTTATATTAGTAAAATAAGTAAACAAGCTCCTATTGGTCATTTTATGTGTTCAAATGTATTTCCTCAACTCTATAAGAATCTGGGATCTATCATAAGTTATTATATCTGATACGAGTGGATAAGAAAACTGTTAACTTATACATCTTTGACTAAATAAAAGAGAAAGAACATATCCTCCCTTCTCTTTTATCAAGAAAGAAGAAGAAAGACTAGGCTCAAAGAAATACAGAATGAGAATGATACCTTAAAAATGTCACACTTATTTCTTATTAGCATGAATATTGAAAGATCAGAGAGATCTTAGAATCATTTGTACCTTATTAACAATATTAACATACAGCCAAATGATCTCAAGTGGTTAAAGAATATACAACAATGGAATATTAAACAATTGTTCAATCTCTACAGATGGTAATACTTTGGGAAAAACAGTATGATACTTGTCAGGTCAACAAAAGTGCATATTGGAAGAAACAAGACTTTTTTTTTTAAACTAGAGGTTTTGTAGTTCCCAATATCCTTTTACCTATATCCTAGAGCCCTTTGAACCTTCAATTTATTATTATCCAGAAGAACATCAATAGAAAATCCCATACTGAATAGAGTATGAAAAGAAAAGGCAAAAAACTGATAGATAATAACCACAATATAGGGATATTGAAAACAGTAAAGGAATAGGTATTGCACCATAAACTGATAAAACTCTCGAAAAATAACTAGTCTATAGTATTAATATAGTAGTAGTAGTGTGTTTTCAAGTCACTCATAACCAAACTATTTCCTATTCTCCTTCCAGTACCTTTTTTGTAATGCAGAATCTTCACTTCTGTTTAAATTTGTATAGTCTTCTTGACTTTATTTTTTTCTCTAAATAGAGATAGTAAAGTAGGATATTGAACATAATAACAAAACAGATCAGATGGTCTATGATAGATATAGATTTGTTATACACATC